CCTCACTCTTTGCAGCAAATAACTACGTTATCAGCCACAAAAGTGAAGAGTAGGGAGGGAGAGGACAGCCTGGTCTCAGGCCCCTATTTGCATTAAAGTATCCAGTAGGTTCACCATTTATTACGATTAAGAATCAAGCAAAACTTATGCACCCTTTAATCCATCTCACCCACCGTCTACCAAAACCTCTCAGGCTTAGAATCTCTACCAAGCAGTCCCAATTCACTTTGTCATAGACCTTTTCTAGGTCCATCTTGATTACAACCCCTGCCTTGCCACTTTGCCTTCTTTCTTCTACGCATTCATTAGCCACTAGTATACTGTCAATATTCTGTCTTCGATGCACAAAGGCGAATTGGTTGCTTAGAATTAGATCTTTCAGCACATTCTTTGGTCTTGCCACCAAAACTTTAGCTACTATTTTGTATAAGCTTCCCACCAAACTGATAGGTCTTAAGTCCATAACTTCCAAGGATCCCTCTTTCTTTGGAACTAGGGTGATAAAGGTTGAGTTGTTACCTTTGTTCACAATGGCCAAAAGATATAAATCTGCAAACACCTCCACCAAATCAGACTTGATTGTGTCCCAGCACAGTTGATAGAAACCGATAGGGAACCCATCCGGACCAGGAGCTCTATCACTATCCATCCTAAACACTATTTCCTTGATATCTTGTTCTTCAAAGGTTCTCTCTAGCCACAGCCTTTTGTCTTCAGACAGCTTAGGTCCCTCCCAGCTGTTCAGAGGAGTACTACTAGATCCATCCTTTGAGTAGAGCCCTTTGAAATATTGCACAATGACTTTTGAAATTTATCCTTTGTCCTCTATCTCTCTCTCTCTCTCTGCTCCACCCTCAATTTTGAGATATAATTCTTCCTTCTCCCTAAAGTGTAACTATGAAAGAACTTCGAGTTATTGTCTCCCTCCTTCAGCCATCTCACCCAAGACCTTTGTCTCTAATAGATTTCTTCCCTTCTTATAAGCTTCTCCCATTCCTTTCTAATAATTTCTCTTCTGCTTCTACCATCTACATCCAAATTCCCCATTTGCTCACTTTGCTCCAAATCATCAAGCTCTTGAATTAGCTTATTCTTATCTTCCACAAAAAATTTTAAAACTCCTCTTCACCCCAAGCTTTTAGCTTCCTCTTCAAATATTTTAGTTTCTGCTGCAATCGGAATCCTGCCCAACCATCCACTCTGCATTCCTCCCACCAAGAAGCTATTCTTTGCTGAAAATCCTTATGAGTAGTCCAAACCTTATCCAACCTGAAAGCAAAATCTTGTGGCGTTAAAGTCACCACCGACACACCAGGCCAGGTCATCAAATTCATGTAAGGAGTCCAATTCCTCCCATAACCTCCACTCTGAGAAGGAGAATTTAGCCCATAAACTCCTGTCAGAATCCAGTTGAACCCATCGGAAGTGTTCGTGAAAAGGATTGAAAGGGTGACCTCTCCTTTGTCCACTTCTATCCTAGTAACCACCTCTTCTTTCCACACACAGAGGATTCCTCCCACTGTTCCCATTGCTGGGAGATCTGCCCATTATCTTCCTCTGATTCCCAAATTGCTTTAATCAGTTTTCTGCTAATTACTTCTTTTTTTGTTTCTTGTAAAATTACTATGTCTGGGTCTTCTCTCCTTAGAGTGTCTTTAACCAGACTTCTCTTCAAATTCCCTCCAACCCCCTTACATTCCAGCTCAAGATCTTCATGATTTGTCTACAACTTCCTTTCCCTTACCTAACCTTCTATCAGTGTTATTTACAGGTCGGACTCCCTGGTCAACAAAGCCCCATTGAAGCCTTTTGAACTCTTTGTTTGTCCCTTTCTTCCCCCCAGCTTCCAACTTTTTCCCCTTACTGCCTCCTTTTAACCCTCTCTGCTGCTTGAACCCATCCCCATTGTTCTCTTGATCAACATCTTTCTGACAGATCTTCGAGAATTGAGCTTCTCCTTGTTCACAGGAACTTGCCATAGGTTGGGATAGAAGGCCACCATCACCAAAATCAAGAGAAACAAAAGAAACATAGTGAAGCTCAGAGGTAGAAATGCAGGGAGAAGAAGTAACACAGGAGGAACAAGCTAAAAGGTTAGACAAAAGGCCTGGAATGGATTTTGCCGCAAGTTTAGTCTTTCCTCCTCTCTCAAGGTGTCTAGGATCAGAGTGACCGTAATCTGGGTTCACCAGCTGCATCGGCTCCAGGATTTCCCTGCTACCCCAGTTCTCTCTGCTCTCGGACAAGGATTGGGCTCTTTTTAGAGCCACCTCTCGGCCATCAACACCTCCACAGATTCATATGAACTCAACTTTGAGTCAAAATCCTCTTCCAAATATTCCCTATCCAAGCTCAATCTTCCTGAAGACATCGGTGTAGGAGGGCAATTAGCATCCCTTACTTCCCCTCCAACGGATTGCAGGGTATCTGGAACGTCTTCTCCTAAGAATAGAGGGGGACTGTTGTGATCGTCTTCCTCATAAGGCCATTCGATTTGGGCTTTTGTGTTTATTCGATCCACATTCTCAGGTCTGACAAGGCCAAAAGAAGAGGTTTGGGTCGGGTTTTAGGCAGATCCCCCACCTGAGTCATGTTGTCCTTCTCCCCTGGGTTTCTTTCTATTTAAATTTTGAAATTTAAACAAAACTTCCTTTCTTACCTGAGTTTCTTCCACAGTCCAGCCAGCCTTCTTTTTATAGTTCTTGTTCTTGACTTTTCTTCTATTCAAAGTAACCTCTTCTGCAGGTGGTTGATCCTACACCACACACAACTTCACCTGAGAAGCAGTTGGCACTACAACTCCCCCTAACATGTCATGTGTGCTGGAATCAACTTGGTGAGTTGACTCAGCAAAGCTTTGCACTAACTCGTTCATCTTCTATCCTCGATTGAGCAAAAGAGCCAAATGTCTTTGTCAAAGATAGGGATTACGCGGGGCACTGCAAACACTCCTCTGCTTCTCACCCTAGTCTTAGCGAACCGAACACCCTGGAAGCCTCTCGTTTTTTCATTGGTACTTTCCAATCCACCACAAAGGCTTCCTGTTAGATTGAAGACCTCCATTGTCTAGAGATGAAAGGGGAGGCCATGTATCACTAGCCATTCGTCAAAGCTCAGAGAAGCAAGGTTTGTATTCACTTTCGACCACCACAGTTCGATCAAAGCCTTCTTCCCATAGATAGACACCAAACCCAATCTTGCCCACCTGCTAACTATCTCCTCCAATGGGGCAAACCCCACTCCCTTGTTCATCTCAAAAGGTTTCAGAGTTAACAGCTCTGAGGAATGCAGATTTGCAGAGAGTCCTAACTCCATGTCTCTCCAACTTAACTCCTCTTGTTTGGTGCAGATGGAGGTTGTCTTCCAACTTCCAAATGGACCAAGTCGACAAACCATAGAGATAAAGGCTCGACCTCCGACCACCACCACTCTACTCTTGCCTTTCTCTAAACTTGGAAACTCCTCCGATGAAGGGGCGTCCGGTTTTGACCTTTCCTTACTGACGAGAACCAATTTCAGAGCACTTGTCATCGTCTCCCACCCAAAGGTGTTGGCCTCTTCAAGAATGCAGATACTTCGCATTTTATTCGCACCCTCCCAATGGCTTAGTCTAATGAATCTTCCCCATCTATTTTCTGCAACTAGGATAGTAATTATTCTTCCCTTGTCCACTAAACTTAAAGGTTCAGATGTTCTATTTCGATTTTCTAGAATTTTTTTCCAAAACACTCACTGACCATATTACCTCGTCCTTTACTCCTCTTTTAGAGAGATTATAGTCCAACCCCCTCTTCCTCACTAGAATCACCAACTCACAATCACTAGAAGACCGGCTTGTGTCCAGTTTGAAGGTTTTGAAATCAATAGCTATACATTTGCGCTAGCAGGCCCAGCACTCCGTCAACATTTGAACGTCACTCGTCAAAAGAAACACAACCGTAGAGTCCAATTACCGTCGGTCGTCGGTTACTTCTTTCTGTTCATCTTCCACATCATGCAAGGCAAAACTTCGATCAGGAACATAGCCAAGCGCCTTCTCTTAATGTAAAGTATAAATTGGAAAAAAGAAAAACAAACTGAAAAGAGTAACTGCATGGACAGCTCAATCATAATTTCTTTCTTCTTTCTTTTTTTTTTTTAGGGGGTGTTGTTAGAAACCCTTTGCACATTTTTTTTAATTGATCAGTAACTGATAGAGTTTATAAGGAGGGGAAGAAGTATGGGAAGATAGAAGATGAAAGTAAAGAAAGTAAAAATAAAGAAACAAAAATTAAGGTAGTGGAGGTCTACTAGACCTTTCAATGTTTTCTCTAGACTTTTTGCTTAAAAAAAGAAAAAAGATGCTTGTTTTTTCTTTGGATCCATGGGCATACACAATGGAGTAGCCCATCCCCATAACCCCCCACCCCCCCCAAGCCTGATAAAGGTGGGATTCAATTCCAAGTCTCCACTACAACCAACCAGAGACCCTACCAACTGAGCCAGTCAACACCATCAGGGGTGGAGAGGAACTTGAAAGTGGTGATTGAATGGATGAGGAACAGGAGGGAAGGACCATGGTGTCTTAGACATGTAACCAGAGAGATAAGATCTTTGTTATCCAAGGTGAGCATCATGCTCCATTAGATTTGAGATCAGCAAAAGAGCTGGAAGCTACTTGGCTGGGAGGATGTTGGTAGAAGACAGATAAACTGGACCAAACTCCCCAGTCTAGGGGTCTATAGATATATTGGGGACCTGATTACTCAGCCAGGGGCTTGCATGTTTATCTTGTCATCTCCTTTACTGTACTTTCATGTCTTCTGATTGAATAATTTTTTGTTCATTTTTTAAATATAAGGAAAGAAATTTTTCATTAAACAAAAGGAAATCAGTACAAAGCTGTTGAGATGGCACCGAAAGAACTTAGAAGTCTGAATAGCTTGCATCAGTAAATAAGAACAACCTAACCATCTCAAAAGAAAATTAAAAAAGAAAAGAAAAGAAAAACCCCAACAAACCTTTTCGAGCCATAACTCTGAACTTTCGACCAAGTCAAGGACTTCTTCTGGATCATACAAGTCTGAGGACTGTAGGAAAAACTGCAGTCTCTCTCTGACTGAATTATGAAAGATTGAACCAATCTCAACATCAGAAATATTTGTCTTTTCTGATGTTGCAGTGTCCAGGGTTTGTTGATTGATTTCCATTTCTACAGCTTCAATAGCTGATTTGGCAAGTGAAAGAGCATATAAAGTATGGAATCGAGTATCATAAGAGTCTTGATCCTCAATCAACCATTGCAAATACCTGCACAGATTAATGAAACTTAAATAAAATCCACTACTGTGAATTATTAGTATTAGTATTAGTATTTTGGATAGATCTACTGTGAAGTATTATTGCCACAGCAGTTTCGTAAGTATTATGTGAAAAAATAGTTTGAACAAGATATTTTCTAGACAAAATTCAAGGTGGAAGTTCTGTACACCATAAAGGGAAGTGACATCCTCATGGTTCATGAATTATATATATAGTGGCTGACCTTCTATTCAATGAATCAAAATAACTGACTAGAGCTGACAAAACCTACTAGCATAACCAATCCAAAATACTGATGTTTTTATTCATTCATTCATTTGTCTATTTGATCAGTAACTGCACTTGTGCTTGTATTTTTCCATTTCTTTTCTTTTTGTACAGATAAGGTAAATATTGTATTTACAGTAAAGGAAAGATTAAAAGGAGGAGAAAATAACAAATACACACCAAAGAAGGATTAAAAGATATTGTAAATACAATATTTACTGTAAAGATAGGCAAAATAACCATCACAAGCAACGATTTACACAGCAAAATGACAAATACACACCAAAGAAGGAGAAAAAAGAAAAATATATATACAGTAAAGGAAAGATTAAAAAATCAGACAGTCAATGACTTCTGAGCCTTTGGACTTTCAGTGGCCCAATAGGTAACACAGACTCAACAAAGGCTGAAGTGATGGCAGCACTCACTGGTATCAGAATAATAAAAAGTTTAGGCATTCAGAAATTATCCATTGTTGGAGACTCTGCTAATACTATCAAATGGCTGAAAGACAAAGAGGGGGGTCCATGGAGGTTGAGTCATTATCTGTCAGAGGCAAGAGACTCCTTGGAAAATTTAATGTTAATCTGATGTGGAAGGGAGATGAATCATATTGCAGATGGATTAGCTAAAATTGGAGCAAACTTAGAAAATTTATACAGCAACAGGCTTCCCCCCTTGTAATTTTGCATTTCCGCTGTTTAAGTTCTCTTTCCTTTATTTAGTACATCTGCTCATGTACTCCTTGTTCTATTTAATGAAATCTGATTAACTTTTTCTCAAAAAAAAAAAAAAGACTTCTGAGCCTTTGAAGATTGATCCCCTTCAATGGAAACAATAACAAGTTCCTTGACCTTCCCTATAGGATAACTATTTTCATCTATAATGAAGGGCATACCTCTGAAGAATCTCCACCTTTTTAGGATCAATGGCAGCAATAACTTTGTCTGTTATAAAAAGCACAAAATTTATTAGTTTAAATCCCAACAAATGAAGAACCAACTGATTTGCAAATATATATATATATATATATATAAAAGAAATGCATGCAAATAATAAAAAGCAGCTTGTATCATTAACCTTCCAGGAACCAAGATCAGAATCTAATCAGTTGCACACCCTCACCAAATTGTTAGCTAGAGTTTAGAAAAGAGGAAGGGTATTGATTGGCAAAATGGTAAGATCTTAGGCTGAAGCATGAGAATGCAATTGCAATTTAATCTGGTCCGGACCGGCATTGGGTAACACTGGAAGTTCTGTTGGCCCAGTCCACCCCTCCAAAAACCATGGACGGCCATAGTCAGCATTGGGCAATGCCCTTTTTAGGATAAAAGACTTAAACTTCCCTTGACCTTTCTCCTAAATACTAAAAACTCCCCTTTCTTTTCAAAGTGGACTAAGACCTCCCCTGTCAGAGTTATGTCTAACAGAATGTCAAAAGTCTCTTTTGCTCTTATTAATTCTTCAAATTTTCAAAATAAAGGCAAAGATACGCTCACTGTAAACCATTCAAGCTATATAGGCTGGTCGAACCCTGCTTGCCTATGGTTACTTTGAACATATAAGGAGAATGGCAGTCATCTGTTGAGGAAATACTGTTTCCTTTTCCCATGCACATAGTCAGGAAATGATCTTTAAATGTGCCTTGCAATTTTGGGATATAAGAATTGTAGTCATTAGGGATTGTTTGAATGCCATTCTCCTGATGAAATCTTCCATGACTCCATCCTCTATGGTGCCTTGAAGAATGAGAGTCCAACATACTATCCTAAGGAAATACGCTCACAGTCTGTAATTTTTATTAGCCTGATGCAGGAGCCGAAGAGTCAAAATTGGAATTTTATGAAATTTTATGTACAATAGGGGTATTTTTGTCAATTTGTAATTTTCTGTGGGGTCCAATGATAGGGTTTAATTTGTCTGGTTATAGTTTGTCTATGTTTAAAATTTTAGAGTCATTGAGTTATTGAATCTTCTTTGAATTGAAATAGGATATGATAACTTAGTTTAAGTCTAAGGCCGTGTTTGGTTGCAGTGCAAATTCATTTGCACTGATGCAAAACTATGGTAGTGCAAATAATTTGGGTGCAAGTTTTGATTTATTTTTGTTTCAAATTTTACCTTACTTTGTTTGTTGCTTTACAAATGAAGTAGAATAAGACCCAAAGAAAAATTAAGTAAAATCCAAAACAAAATTAAACCAAAATTTGCATTTTTTTTTCATTTGCACTCCCATACATTTGTATTAGTGCAAATAAAATTGCACTGCAACCAAACACAGCCTAACAGTTTGATTCCTAGGACTATTATGATTCTAACAGTTTGGCTCATAGGATTATTATGAGTTTAGAGTCTATAAATATGCATGGATGTTTTACGCAAAGGCAACAAAATATATTCAGTTTCTTCAGCTTATGATAACTATGGTGAGTGATTCCCATGCCCTAGAGTGGTTCTAGGCACCCTGTGAGTGATTCCAGGTATTTTTCTCTCTTCTTTCTATCCCTATTTTCTCTCTTATTCCTTCAAGAAGCCATTACAGCCATAAAATTCTGATCAAAGAAGACCATTCAACATTCTTTAAGGACTAGAAGCGAGCATGTCCTACATCAGTTGGTATCAGAGCTAATGGTTTATTCACTATGTTCTGACAAAGTGATTGATTCTATAGGCCTAGGGTATCTAATGAACAACCATACAGGTCTAAAATCAATGATGGTTGGGTTTCTAAACCATATGAAGGGTCTTTGGTTGACTTATTTGAGAAGATGGTGAAAGAAAATAGATCTAATAATGTTAGCTACGGGAGTAAGGTTTTCAAAAATGTTAGAAGAGAAAGGGAAATACCAGATTTCAAAGGAGATAATGATCCACAAGCATTCTTTGATTGGGTTGTTGAACTAGAAGAATATTTTGGTTGGCATGATATGTTTGACAAACAAAGGATTAGATTTGCGTGCATGAAGCTAACGGGTCATGCTAAAGTATGGTGGAGAACTCTTGAGCCTAGAAAAAAGAGGCGATCATCCAATTAATACATGGGCAGAAATGAAGAGGTGTTTGCAATAAAAGTACATCCCACTAGACTTCCACAATGATCTATATATGGAGTTGACTAATTTCAAGCAAAAGAAGAAGCAACAGAAATTGATGCCTATCCTAAAGCTGAAGATGAGGATGAAGCTAAAGAAGAAGAATTTCAAGCTATAGAAGTTATAGATATTAAAAATCAAGAGGATGCAGACCAAGAAAAAACAGAAATTGATGCAGTTTCCAACACTCATGATCAATTTGAGGTTAATTATTAAGAAGAAATAAAAGTGGAGCAAGTTAAAGAAATTCAGGTGCAAGATAAAAATGTGTTGATTGTAGTAGATCCTAGTAAGGAAGTAAGTAACTTTACCTTACAAGTCCAACTAGAACTAATTCAAGAATTACAACCTAGCATAGCACAAGTTCCACCAACATCAACAATGGAAGGAGTCCTAGAGTTTGTTGAAGAACCAAGGATAGCAGAACACATAGAGATGGTGATTCCTAAGATAGAGGTTGAAGGAAAAGTTCCAAATGTTGCAGTTGAGGGTTTAGAAAAGCGAGGAGAAGATTCATCGCAATGGCTGGTTGATGAATTAAGTGTTCAAGAAACTAATATTATTGATGATTTAACGAAGATGGTTATGGAAGGCAGTGTTTCAGAAATACGTTTCTTTCAAGATCCTTTTCTAGTTCTGTATGTGACCTCTACTCTACAATTCAAGCATGTAGCTGTGGGAAGTTCTACAGTTTGAATTGAAATCCCATCAGCATTGAATTGAAATTTCTTGTGATTCATGCATGACCTTAGCTGATATGGGTGCTATAGTTTCTCTAATTCTCTATATTTTCTACCCTAAGACCATTTTTTTCATTTTATTGTCTTATTGTAGCCAAGCCTTAAATCTTACAATCTGATTTGGTGAAAATGTAAATTTTTAAGCCTATTTCTTCAAAACCTAAGAAGTATGTTTGTTTCTTTTCCCAAAAGGTCCTATAGCACCCACCAAAAGTCCTACATCGTCCCCTCTAGAATACTTTACCTCCTTCCAGAAGATAATTTCTTGGTGATGGAATTCCCTTTTGCCCAAATCTTCTATATCATTTGTAACACCAATTTAAAGTCCAACACAAGAACAACTTTAAAGTACAGTATCTAGGGTTCATAATTACCTTTATGGAGAAAATATTTACCTCCTAAATGCAACAACAATATTAGAAGACCGTCAAGAAGTAGTTGAACTCCATTTAACTATCAATTATACAAGGATATAAAGAGAACTTTTTCTATAGTCAAAAGAACAGTCTCTCATTTAATCCTGAGCCACCACCACCCCCCAACCCTAATACCCAAAAGAAAAAAGACAAGAAAACACATTGACATGTAAACCAAAGTGCAGATAATCAAAGCAAATGGGCAATGACTAATAACATTCACAAAGGGCTCACCAGGTGCAAGCTGATTGGCTCTTTTATCTGATGTTAAAATTCTAACAGCAAGCCCCTGGTCCACGTCTGCAACCTAAGAAGAATCAATTTTCCGATTAGCTATTGAACTAATGCAGGTAGAAAAGCTTCAATCATAGCTTCTACAAGAAACATTACATACCCATCCAAGATGTTGCAGAACCATGTCTTCATCAGATGACTCCTCAAGAAGTTTTGTTGCTTCTATTGCAGCAGTCTTCTTACCAGAGATAACATTCTTGCAGGTATCTGAAGTTTCATCTTCAACTACAGTGTCTTTCCATAGGCCAGAAGAATAATTTCTTGCCAAAACACGCCAAATTGCAAGAGCTTTTGAACTCATCCCTTTACTTGCATACAAGAAAGCAAGTGTCCTTAAATGCCCAGGATCATCTAATAGAGTCTCCAACTCTTCCTGCATCAGCCATGGAAGTTGCAGGGTCATCCTTTGAGCAGGCTTCTAACAATGATTTCTTTGCTTTGCAATACACAAGAATACTACAATTACATTGATTTCCAACATATGCACACTGCACATGGTCTTGAGGCCTATAATCACTAGTTTATCTATAACCACAACTATTTAAAGACCGCATGTGTCAAATGATAAAGTAGAAATAACAAAAATAACTAAAACACAAGATCATACCACTACACAACTATTCTCTGAAGACGCCAACTGTTCCATGTCATCTACACGATTAAGGGCTCTATAGAGATACATAAGAAGAGTGTCAACACCCTCTTTCACTGATGGTGTCAAATCCTTCTCCCGAGAAACTTGTAGATACCTACAGTATTGACAGAATGTTTGATAAAGTAATGGAATCACAAAAATGTTGACACAAGAAAAATGAAACATAATTTAGCAGCACTCGTTTAGTATTTTGATTTATGTGCAATTAACAATGGGAACCAACAAAATGTTAAATTGATATAGAGACCAAAAGCAAAAGAAGAAGATGAACCTGATCATGTACTGGATTGCTGACTCCAATAGATATGCTCTACTTGGTGGATTCAAAAGAAAATCTTCATTAGTTGCAGTCTCTACACCTGCCTTCCTAAGAAATCCAGCTCTTTGAATAGCCATTAACCCATCATCTATAACATCTTCAAGAGGTAAAGGCGGTGGATGCAAGCTCCAGTACCGCTTCCTGGGGACCTGAAATATACAAGTTCAGTTTCTTTGTTTATCTTTTTGTCTTCATAATAAAGGGCCGTGGATATTATACATGGTTGCTCACTAATCCACATGCACAAACCTTGGTGTAATTTATAGACATGCAAAAGCATGCAAATGCATTAGAGGGTGTATGGGAGTGGGGCTAGAGGCAACTCCACTATGTTTCAGATCACAAGAAAAATAGTGCTTCTCCACAGAAGAGTGTCAAGAATGTTCATTGTTTGGCACAACCAAACATGACATTTCAAAATAAATTCTATTGCAAACAGCTTGTCCAGTTAAAAAGGAGAGTCTGTACATGCTTCCTAGACCCTCATAAAAAAATGGAAAATAAAAAAGTTTGCAAGCAAAATTACAGGACATGGATCATAAGATCCAGTTGAATTCCTGCCCAAGGAAATATGTTCTTTCCAAAATAAGGCATGTAACTGGAAAATATATGGAAATAAGAAATCAAAAGAGCAAAAAAAATAAAAGAAATACCAGCAGTGACCAGCGATTTGGATCCCGCATTATAAATGGAAATACTTCAGAAGGTTCCATCGTTTCCGACAGCAAAAAATGGTTTATGGCTTCCTCAAAATGCAAATCAAATAACAAGAGAAACCCCACTTGAGCATGCACAAAAGAAAGCATTTCCTTTGTCATTTCACCATCACACTCAAGTTCTTCTACTAAAGAGATGGCATCCTTAAAATTCTTCTTCCTCAATAGGTCTTTTATTTGTTCTTCAGCAGATACTTTCCGATAACAAATGGCCTGTAGAAGTGAACATGAAGTTCTGGTAACAACAACATGAGAATGAAATGAGAACAGGTGCTTCAACCTAAGAATGAATGCATACCATAATGCCCTGTCAATATGACCACGAAGTATGATCTATCTACTTTTAAGCCAGAAATATAATTGTTATGTATTCAGTATCCAACATAAGATTCAAAGCTTCCAATCTTAAGCATAATAGAATTAGAAAATTTTCATTGTACTTCTAAAGGATGGTAATAACAAAATGGCTGCTAGATTTTCTGGCAAATTTAACTCCAATAAAGAGAGAACAAACTCTGCTGGGAAATATTGATCTCACTCTCATTACAAAATACAATAGAATGTTTAAGTCCTTATTTGGGTAAAATAACATTTAAGCCATTGAGTGTGAAAGTTAAGCCTTTTTTATCAATGAAAGTTAAACCTTATCCCAAGTTCCCAACTATATGAGGTCAGCTACATGAATCATGTTTTGCCATTCTGTTCTGTTTAGATGCCAAATCCATTGTTAAATTATGAGAGTTTAAACCATTTCTTACTACTTCAACCCATGCCCTTTTTGGTCTGCCCCTAGCCCTTTCTAGCCCCTTCAATTTGTAATAGATTGCTTCTTCTTATAGGTGCTATAGATGGCCTTGTATACATGTCACTAAACCATCTTAATCTACTTTCCCTCATTTTGTCAACCATCAAAGCTACTCTTAGGTTCCTCCGAACGACTTCAATTTTGACCTATCATTTCTAGATTTCCACTCATCCATCTCAAGCATACAAATTTCTACCACACTCATTTTCAGGACATGTTGTTTCTTGACTGCCCCACTCTGCTCTATACAGCATAAGACTTATTTTATGGAATTGACCTTACAACCATTTTATGATTTTTTTCTTTTTAACCTAAGTGGAATCCACCTATCACATAAGATTCCAGATGCACCCCTCCATTTTGTCAATCCTGCTCTAATTCTATGAGCAACATCCTCCTCAATCTCTCTCTTGTTATGAATTATCAAACCAAGGTAAGGGAAAAGGCCAAGCAATGGGGATTTCAAAACTTTGAGGTGGAGGGAGACACTAAACCGTTAAAAGGATGGCTGCAAACAGAAGTTCAGGTGTATGAACTTTTAAACAACAAATGAGGGAAATACATTGCTTAGCAAAGGATGTTGGAGTAATTTTCAAGTGGGTAATGAGTTTAGCCAATTCTGTGACTGAACTTTGGCAAAGCAGGGGACCTTCAGGGAAAACCTTTTTAGGGCTTTGTTGTAACTATTGAAATTGATTGGGGTCAACACGCATACTCTGAGTGGTTGACAGTGTATAATGATTAACTGCTATTTTTAATGAAAGTTACCGGTTCCAATCAAAAAGAATTCTCTTGGTATCCAATCCTAAGTGTACCCTGATTTGCACTTCTATTATTATTAAATTTAAATAGCATATATTCTGTTTTAGTCCTTTGTTAGTTTCATAAATCAATACAATGTCATCAGCAAACAACAAGCACCATGGGCATGGCTGCAAGTAAAACAAGGACCAAGTGCTAAGCCTAGGTGAAGACCCATTATATCTATAAAATCTGATAACTATCCCACATGTGTTCTAACATTGGTTGTTGCATCCTCATAGACATCCTTAATTAGGTCGACATACATATTAAGAACTCTTTTCTTTTCCAAAATGCATCAATATTATCTCTCTAGGGACTCTATCATATGCTTTCTCTAGATCATTGAACACCATATGAAAACCTCTCTTCTTCTCTCTAAACTTTTCTGTCAATCATCTAAAAAGAAATATAGATTCCATGGTTGATCTCCCTAGCATAAACCCAAATTGATACTCTAATATGCTTGTTTCATGTCATAACCTTTGCTCAATTAGCCTCTCTCAGAGTTTCATAGTGTGGCTCATGGGTTTAATCCTATGATAATTATTACAACTTTGTATATCAACTTTGCTTTTTAGTATAGACACTGCAGTGCTCTTTCTCCAAACCACAACTAATTCTGTTGCTTATATTTTTTCACCATCAAGAACATACAAAATTAAAGGTATGTGCATACTCAATTTTTTAATTAGCAAAGATATGATCATAATATACACTATAAAAATCGAATTGGTCATTGTAAGCATGTCTGGCCTGGCCAATGATATGATTTAGAAGGAACTCAGCAAATAGCCCCACAATTTTGGGTGGAAGGATGCCTCCTCAGAAAAGGAGCCATACTGACTAGGCTCAGCTACTGTTTACCAAAGGATAAGGTGCCCACAAAGTCGTAAGACAGTATACTGAGAATGACACTTGCCCAATGTCAAAAGGTCAAGGAAGTTGGTGAACTAGTGACAGAGAGCTGGTAACCAAAGCATACAGCCATATGTGAGCATGAGTAGTTGTTCGATATTCAAAAAAATTATGCATACTAAATGCATGTACGTTATACAACTTAGATCTACATCTCAATGTGAAATTGCAAGCATTCATGCAAATGGCATAACAAATTCTTGAGACAAACCATGTCATATGGTAGTCCTGTTATGTTCATGGCCAACATACTCAAGCTGGAAAAGTACTAATATTTGTTTAACCTAAATTGTACTTAACATAGACTATTTACTAGCACCAGAAGCACAGTCAAATTAAGGACACATAACTTTTAAGAGTTTGACATGAACCATGGTCAATACCATTTGGACGTATGGCATACTTAGGGTAAATCTCATCCAAGGTTCGTTGGCTCCAATCTTTTTTATTTTTAATTTATATTTATCTCAGTCAGGAAGCTTATCACCATACGTGGACAAATATCTCGAGTATACCTTAGAAGGTGTTGCAACAACAACAAGTTCCCCTGTTCTGCTCTCCTCATTTGCGACAAGACAAGGCCCAACTCCTTCCCCTGCAAAAGAAAGTGACTGAATGCAGAGACTAGTTCTCTTGTGGTATAAGTCCATCCTTCCACCCTTTACAACTATCACATGGGAAGATATCTCCCCAACAGAATCTGGAAGATTTCGGAAAACTAAACTCCCTCCAACCGGCTGTCCAAAAGCATTGACAATGATCCCAACATTATCAACGAACAGAAGCACATTATGGTCTTTCAATAGACATTTAAGACATGGAGGACTGGATGAATCCGGAAGGGAAAACATAGGAGCACTTTGCCCAGTAATGCAAGAAAATAAAGTATACCCATTACCAGTACCGACAATTATTGAGTCATCAAGCCACACCATGGTCTTGATTCCCTCGATACCATGGATTTCTTTCAAAACCATGAAAACACCCCCCATATCCGCATCCCTGTCTATCCTATCAGTTCTGCCAGACAAGAGGAGCTCTATCAAAATCAACCTTTTGCCAACTGCAACGGCGACAAGACAATTACCTTCTCCCAGAGATTCAGGCTCTCTAGTTTTCATACCATTTGTCCTAATCCCTCCTCCTAGCTTCTGAAGAAACCGCTGACCGGCGCTAGATAACTCGGACCGAGGAATGCCATCCCTAAGTAGATCTGAACTCGTTGAATCACCAGAACGAAATCTTCTGGCAACAACAGTTGCTCCTTTAGGAAAACTCAATCTCCGACCGGGTTGTAACAGAAACAGATCAAGCAAAAATATAAATCCATCCGAAACTACCAGAATTTTCTGTACTTCGACGAGTACATGAATTGAATCCACTGGGCAATCACTAATCGATGTTGATCTCAAAAAGGATAAACCTTTGGAAGAAGAAACATTAGAGCCAGTGGAATTTTCTTGTTTAGTCCCGTTTTCATCAACCGAGATAGGAACGGAATCACGAATATCAACAGAAGAAGGGTTTAGGGAGAGTAGAATGATCTTTCCTCTTGCAGTACCGATATAAATTAGTGTTTGAGAATCGGATATCGTCGAAATTGCTAGAGATCGAAAAGGACGAGTGGTGGACGGAGGCAAAGTTGAGGCCTTTGATGAATCGAACTCTGCAACAGCTTCCAGCACCGTTCGAGACTTGGGTTCAAGCTTCTCCATCGAAGCTAAGATGTTCGGGTTAGGAGATGAACTGAAAACAACTCCCCCTCTTCGAATTATCGAGAGAGGGGAATGGCAGTCCAAATTCATGCTAGTGAACTTCCTTTATGTTGCTTCATTGAGTATGTAAACTATGAGTTTCTTGAATCTTGACGTCGTTTCCTTGACTGGCAGATTTCGGAGTTCGGACCTCGAGGAAGCCGGTTACTAACGAGTAACGAGAGTCCTCGTTATCGTAGAGGGCTTGAAATATGTGCAGTAATAATCCGAGTATGCAACTGGTTGTAAATTTGTAATTAGGTTGGGTCGGGTAGATGCAACGGGCTTATGCAAACCCAAACCTCTGTACACACTCTGAAAGCGTATAAATCCAGCCGCACATTGTGATCATCTATCCATAAATTTTAAATATATGTATGTAAATATTCCTATGTACAGTTAGGTGTTATCTGCGAAAAGTATTTGCTTTCAAGATATTCCAACTCAGGATCCTATCTAATAAAAGAGATTCGGAATAGGGGTGAGCAATCGGTTCCGAATGAACCGAATTAAAAAAATCAAAATCAAAATTGAAATCGAAATTTTTCAGTTCGGTTTCGATTATTTTGGTTAAAACCGAATTTTAATAATATATAATCTATTATATATATTATAATATATTATATATTATAAAATATATATTATGAAATTAAATTTCAATATATTATATATTATATATTACATATAATAATAAAAACTTTGGTTAATTCGGTTAACCGAAATTCTAATTTCAAAAACAGAAATCGAAAACCCAAAAACTGAACCGATTTAATCAAAAACCAAAAAGCCAAACCAAAAAACTGAAATCGAAATTTTCGATTCAATTATTCGGTTTTAACCAAAATGCTCACCCCTAATTTGGACTCAGTATTGGGTTAGATTTTAGGTCGGGTAAATGATTTATGGATTCTACATAGAATTAGCAACACACCATAGGGCATGCTCTAGGGCTTCAAATAAGAGGGTGTTTGGTAGGGGTGCAAATGGTCCAATCTTATTTGGTCGAAATTAGATCATATCGGGTTGGATTCGGGTTCCTTGTCCGAAGCAATAATGGCTTATCCAATATATTATATATTTATGAATATAAATATATATAATACATATATATGTTACTTATTTATTTATAAATATATTTTTATAAATTTGTTAAATTATTTATTCTTTTATAAAAAAGCATGTATATATGATGAGAATAACTAAAAAATACTCGTATTTTTTGTTTTTATTTTATTTAAATTAGTATATTTTAATTTTCTTTTAATAATTTATTCATTTTTAAAGAATACAAGTTGGATCGGATCATATCCGAAGATCTGACTTACCAATAGGATTCGAATTCAAATCGAGTCCTAACAGATCTAGTCAAATCTTCGGATTGGATTGGATCGGATCCAACATGAGCAGTGTCGGGTTGGATTCGAATATATCATAATTCAAATCCGATTCGATCCGTTTGCATCCCTAGTGTTTGGTTATGTAGACGTTTATTGAAAAAAGGGGAAAATCCTGATCAGTACCCGGTACTTCGGCTCGAGTGACAATTTGGTCCCCAAACTTTAAAATGCGACAATCCAATACCCGAACTTTCAAAATGTGGCAATCTAGTACTCAAACTTTCAAAATGTAATAATCCAATACCTATTATTAATTAGTCCATTTATCAGCATTTAAGTGACATTTGAAAAGTCAAAAATGTCCTTCGAATGGCATCTAATTCTCTTTATGAACCATCCAAACATTGACAAAAAATTGAACAGTCCTAAATCTTGGCCTCTTCTATTCAAAAAAGTTGGTGAATGTTTAGAAGAATCTAGAATTTGGAATTGTTCATTTTATTGTCAATGTTTGGATGCTTGATAAAGATAATTAGATTGCATTATTTGGGCATTTTTTACTTTTCAAATGTCACTTAATGACTGATTAATGGCAGGTACTGGATTGTCACATTTTGAAAGTTCAGGTACTAAATTGTCACATTTTGAAAGTTTGGGTACTGGATTGTCATATTTTAAAGTTTTGGGACCAAATTGTCATTCGAGCCAAAGTACAGGGTATTAATGAGGAATTTTCCCTTCAAAAAACACCACCACATCAACGTCACATAGGTGTTGGTGTTTATTGCATATGAAACCATGTTTGGTTTCATCATTTATCAAATAAACGCTAAAAAACTGAAATGCTTTAATTTATGTGCATGGAGCATTTAGGGAAACGTCAAATTCTCGTTTCCCCTAATGCCTATGACACTTTTATGGGGTGCTAATTTGAGGTGGAAAGTAAAAATATTTAAAGTAATGCCCAACCAAACAACAAAAACAATAAACATTTAAAGCAATAAATGGCCCATCTATAAATGCCCACTGAACCAAACATATACTAAGTCATCAGATCCGGATTGACATGCTTGATCTGATTTTTATTTATGAAATATTATATTATATATATTATAAGTAAATAAATTATATATGTTATTTATTTATAAGAGCAAATTTCTTAAACTACCCCTACTATTTAGTTAATTGACAAATTGTACCCTTACTGTTTAACTATTGTCTTAAACCACTCGTATTGTTTTTGACAATTGACCATCTTTGCTCCTACCATTAGCATCCATTAATATTCCATCAAAATCCATACACACATGACACCATGTGACATCTAATTTTTTAAAAACCCAATATTACCCTTCATCAAAACGAAATATGAATTCCTTTTTATATTATTTTCTTAAAACTCACTAGAAACAAAACTTTGAAATGTGCACCCGACCACCTGGCATTTACTTTGAACTAATGGCAGAGATGGGGTAGGAGAGAGCCCAATCATATTCAAGTATACTACTCTGCCACGCTCTACTCGAGGAGAAGAAAATTAAATGGGGCAGCTAAAACAACAAAACGATAAATATAAGAAAAAAAATAGTTGCCTCCTAAAATCATATTTCAGGAGGACTGTTGCACAAGCCACCATTGCTAGTCCCAAAGGAAATAAACATTTTTTGGGATTCCACATTCTTGAGGACCATAAGTACCTCAATGCTCCATATGGAGGAAATGAAAGCATAATTAGTTAGTATACCTTCCACATTTTCAATATTTTTTAGCGGTTTTCACAAAGATCTTCATCTTTAACACAACCTCAATTTTGCTTATTCATAGAGTTAGTATTTAGAGTCAAGTAATGTAGGTTGGCTTCAATTACTTAGTGATCCCAATCCCGTCTCCCCTTAAAATTATTGATGACGAGATCGCAACAGCGTCCTATATGTACATCTCAACATGCATTAGGAACATCATAGAGGGCAATATTTTGTCGGTATACTCGTACGGTAATAACTTTTCACTCATTAGTTCTTGCTATAATTCCATTAGTCCAGAGGCCATCCTTTTTTATGCATCAAATTTTATTTTTAATTATATTAACTTTGAGAGTAATCCATTATCCATGTAACTTCTAACCCACACCAATTTTCCAGAGTCATCTCTTCTTCATGAACCTTCATAAGCTCTATTATAGCCTTTAATTATGACTTTGGCGGGCGGGGCAAGTATTAGGAATGGGGATAGATTCCCCACGGGAATTAAATTTGCCCTCCATCCCCAATCCCTGGTGGGGATAGATTCCCCGCGGGGACCCAAATCCCAACAAATATTCTTAGATAATAGTATTTCTTTGAAAAATAAATTTACTTAAAATAAATAAAATTTTTAAATTATAAATAATGTTTTGATATATAATATATTTAACACAAATAACATTTAATATATATATATATATATAATCGAGGTCAGAGTAGGGCAAGGACCTCAATCCCCAGCCCCGACCCCATCGGATCAAAAAAATCGAATCCCCGTTGGGGATGGGAAAAATTGTCATCCCTAGTAAGTATCAATGCAATATTTTACATTTGCCATAAATATTAATATGGTATTTTAGAAAAGATGATCTCCACCAAACTTTTACTAACACATTATCATTAGGTAGAGGAATGGTGGAATCCGGAGTAAACAACTCTTGTTTTGCTATAAGGCACTTGAAAAAATGTGTTATGACTTTATCATCATTTTCACCACCATAAATTGGACATTCAATGTCCTCTAATACCCCTAATTTTTGTAATTTTATTTTATTAAAAAAAATTTCCTTCCAATGTTACGATAATGAAGTATTTTATTTTAATCCACCTCCCTTCATTCGTCATTATTGATTCACTCAACCAATTCTTAGGCCAATTTGATAGTGAACGAGCCATTATGATCACACCTCCAACCCGTTTTGTCCTCTCTCTCCCCTTGATTGGGTTGGGTATATCTCTAATACACATCCAATCTTCACCTATAACCATATTATGCAGTTTCTTGATGCCACATTCCCTTGAATTGGAATGATAAAATCAATTACTTTATCATCACTTTATGCTTGATATTTTTTTTTCATAAGGTTTATCTCCTATGCAACTTGTGGCAATTGTTCAACATCTTGATCTATGTTGTATATGTCACCCCACTGAAATTTGAGAAGTTTGTATATAGTAATGGAAATTTTATTTTTTTTCATAATTGCTCCACTCGAATAAAGTAGTAAAAGGTCTTTTTTTTTCTTTTGTAATAAGTAAAGGGCAAATAATGACACCTATATTGTAGGACCTACTTAAAATCTAAAACTAAAATAATAAGAATTGAAGTGACTCTTGTACCCTCATATTTCTTCAAAAATGACAATTAGTAATCATTAGCCCTAAAAGCTAAGTGGGTCATTCAAACCATTTATTCTCTTTTAAAATTTAAGGTTGGAAGCTTGGAATAGGTTGTTGGATCATGAAGGAGATGAACCAGGTAGAGTCCTTCTATTCTATCGTTATTCACTTTAACATTCTTCAATAACGAAACACACTTGAGGAGATATCTCTCTTGGTGTTTTACAAATTAAAAAACCCTAGTTATTTATACAAAATTGTTCTATCTATTGTTGTGTTAGGATTAGGAACAATTTTTTTTCCTTCTTTTTAGTATTTAGGTCACTATATGCTTTAAAAGGTTAGGAAAATTTAAGAGAAAAAGTTGATCCATTTGTGAGATGTATCTATTTCTCTTAAAGTGTTTAGAGTGAAAATATTTTAATTTTTTTTTTGTTTTAATTATTCAAATGTCATAACTAAGTTGATGTTATGATAATGCCTGCCCCATTGATTAAAGGTCATAAATCCACCACTTCTCCTACCCATATA